AAAGAGAGCCATGCTGGTTTAAAGAGCGCTGTGATTAGAGAGACAGCTCCGGAGATCTTTTGGAGTGGTGAACTATGGCATCTTTTCTCCTGATGAAATGCATCAGTAAGGAAAGTGTTGGCAGTCAACCTTTATCCGAGACCTTTACATCAGCTGTTCTCTGAGCAGAGAGCGAGGAGAAAATCTAATTTTTATGAGTGTCACATACAAGGTTACCGCTCCTTTATTACACCTACAAAACACACCTGAGGACTGTGGGGAGCTCAGCTTTATCAAAGCAACAACTTCAACACCTTTACAGGCTGTACAAACCATTTTATATCCACCATGTAAACATGTCATGGTCCAAGAGTTGTTTTTAAATTTTGGATTCAGATCTTTTTCTTCTTTTGTCTGCTCTCTTTAGATATCGCCACCACAGATCATCTGCCGCTATCTCACCCTATTGTTTGAATCATCGTCAGCTGTCACACTAACTCCCTCCATGAATCATCTCTCTGGCTTTTCTTCTTTCCTGCTCCCTGTTAGTTACTGGTTGTTTGTTCCCTTCCGGTTTTGCTTTGGTGGTTGGTTTGCGTGATGTCTCGTTTGTGTCATGTAATATGAAGTTTAAATTAGTTTTCAAGCACAATCAAGTGTTTTGATTGTACATCTGGTCAAACGCAGGAAAGAGGTGTGATTTTCAGCGTGTAGTCTGTCGGTCTGCTGGGTTACATCACATGTGTTGACTTGCAGAGCAGTTAGTCGTCTCCTTCTTTCCATCTCAGACCGGCCGCCCCTCTCAGCAGATAGACAGCTATTGATAGAGTAAAGAAAAAGCTCCATCTGCCTCTTAATACAGGATAAGACTGTGAGAGGAAGGATGTGGGGCTTAATCTCTCTGTCTTTAATTGTGTCCCAAATCAGACAGATCCTCAAATGTTTAGACCGGCTACAACAAAAAAAGCCTAAAAAGATCTTTTTTCTCAAATATTAAGATATTCGATCAATAAGAACCTCCGTATGTTATATTTTATCCTCTCGTCATCAGTCAGTTATGCAGTGTTAAGTTGATACATGACATAAGTACAGAGAATTTGAATTTAGGTTAAAAAAACACTATGAGAAGCAAATATTTTTTTCCCCTTTTTTTAATCAAAACAAGCAAAAAAAGAAATACCCCAATTAAAAGGAAAAAAATTTTTTTTCTCCCCTCTTTTTCCCCTTCCCCTCCTTCCTCTCCCCGTCCTTTTTACATAAAATATAATTACCATTATATAAACAATCATATATCTATGTCTATACATACACATTTATATACCTAAATAAGTATATACAGAGGAGGGGGAGAGGAAAGGGGGAAAAAAAAAACCCCAAAACAAC